TCAAGTGGGTTATGGAATGTGTGTCTACTGCTACCTTCTCCTTAGCCATCAATGGAGGCCTTCATGGGTTTATTAAATGTAAGAGGGGTATTAGGCAGGGGGATCCTATGGCTCCCTCCCTTTTCCTCTTTTGCATTGAATATCTCTCTAGATTGCTTAAATTGATGGTTAAGGAGAGGAAGTTTAACCATCATTCCTTGTGTGCCACCTTGGGGATTACTCACATTGCTTTTGCAGATGATTTGATGCTGTTTTCCAGAGGAGACATTGAGTCTGTTACTGTCTTGGCTGATGCCCTCAACCACTTTTCTCAAGCCTCTGGACTGAGAGTTAATCCACAGAAATCAAGCATTTTTCTAGCTGGAGAAGTTAAGGATAATAGACAGGACATCCTTAACCTGGTCCAATTTCCTCTTGGAAGACTCCCTGTCAGATACCTTGGTCTACCATTAACTTCCCAAAGAGCCTCTGAAAGGGACTTTGCACCTCTTATTGCTAAGGTTGAGGACAATATATGTAAGTGGAACACTAAAACTTTGTCACAGGCTGGGAGAGTAGAACTGATCAGAAGTGTAATCCAAGGGATCCAGAGTTTTTGGCTTCAGGCTTTCCCTATCCATAAGACTGTTCTCAATAGAATCACAACTATCTGCAGAAGCTTCTTGTGGGGCAGTAAGTTTTCTAAGGTTGCTTGGAGTGATATCTGCAAACCAATTGAAGAAGGAGGGCTGGGGTTGAGGAACTCTTACACTTGGAATCAAGCTTTTCTTATAAAAAATCTTTGGAATATTGCCTGTGCTAAGGATACTCTGTGGGTTAAATGGGTTCATGCAGTTTACCTTCAAAATAGGGAGGTGTGGACATGGACACCTAAGGAGGGGGATTCACACCTTTTCAAAAAAATGTCCTTTGCTAGAGATCTTTTTGTGGATAAGCTTGGGGGTTCTGATGGGTTTCATGACAGATTGCAGAACATGTGTGAGAATGGCAATTTAAATACCACCACTGTATATGATCTGCTCAGAACTAGGAATCAGCCAAAGCCTTGGATGAAATTCATTTGGCAGACCTATATCCCCCCTAGATTTTCCTTTACCACTTGGCTGATCCTTAGGAAAAGGCTTCCTACCAAGGTGAACCTCTCCTATGTGGATATGGAAAACAGGGATTGTAGCCTCTGTCACTTGGATGCTGAAGACACAAAACATCTCTTCTTTGCTTGCCATGTCTCTGCTCAGATTTGGAATGGAGTTAAGGAGTGGATCAACTTGGATGTTGCTCTCTCAACTTTAAACAGAGCTATCAAGTGGCTTAGGAAGTCTCACCATGCTCATTCAAACATCAAGAAAATGTGCAGATTGGCAACCCTTAGCACTGTTTATCACATCTGGAGACTTAGGAATGGGGCATACTTTGATCAGATTGCAGTTGATGTCCATTCTACTATCCAAAAGATCAAGTTGAGTGTTTATAAGGTGATGTACAGGCTGTTTCCTAATGCCCCTTTGAGGTTGGGAATGGGTATTAGTTGAGGTTGGACCTCATTTTCACTTTTGGGCTGGGTTTGGGACCCTGATGGTTTTTCCATTGGGTTGGCAGGAAACTAGCCAAACTCTCCATACCCCTTCTGGATATCTAGAGTTTGGGTTGGGTCCTGGGTCTCTTTCCTCTTTCTTTCTCTTTTTCTTTCCCCCCCTCTCCTTCCCTTCTTTCTACTTTCTTCCTTTCTTTTTTCCCTTCTTTTCTCTCTCTTTCTTTGCTGATTTCTGGGTGATAGACCAAACTACCCTTGCCTACTCATTCTTGGAGTGGGATTGGCAGTCTTGATCTGGACCCCCCCTAGAATGGACTTTGAAATTTGGATTGGAGTTTCTGATTGGCCTTTGGCCTGACCACTGGGTGGTTGGAGACATATCAACATCTGTAGACCCCTTCTGGATCTCTAGATGTTGGTGTGGATCCCTTTCCTTTCTTACCTTGCCCCCCCTCCCTCCCTTCTTCTCTCCTTTTTCTCTTCCTCCTTTTCTTTCTTTCCTTCTTC